CCCCCCCACCCCCTACCCCTCCCCCTCCCCCATCTCGCGCCACACACCCCGCAAATCGCACCGGCGCCGCACGACCCGCGCCACTCCTCTTGCTGGCTCCATTGGCCTCGCCTCAGCCCCGAGATCACCCGAGATCGGCTAGGTCGAGGTGCGCAAGCCGAGCGAGGAGGAGGCGGCGGTGCTCGCGGCGGTCGACGTGGTGGCCACCCCATAGACGCTCCCCAGACCCTCCCCAGACCCCCTCGCCCAAGACCCTCGCCCAAGACCTTCGCCCAAGACCACCTCCCAAGAGAGTGCCGCGTCGCTCTGCTGATGCCAGACCAGTGCCAGACAGGCGCCGTTCAGCCGCCCTGCCGCAGCGCCACAGGCCCCGCACCACCTCGCACCACCTCGCACCACCTCGCACCACCTCCCCCTCGGCGGCACCGCCACACTAGGAGCATACACCGCAACACCCAGAGCACCGCCTCCCTGCCTCACGCCCCCTCCCTCCTCGCCGCTCCAGAGATCTCCCCATCATACCTCCCCATCATATCTCCCCACATCTCCCCACATCTCCCCACATCTCCTCTCGCCCCTCCAGATGCGCAAGGCCAAGGAGGCCCACGGGTCGACAGTGCGCGGCTGGAGGCTGCAGCTCAAAAAGAGGCCGGCCAAGGAAGGCAAGCCCGACGCCTTCGACATGCAGGCGGGAGAGCGCGCTGCTCGTGGCGCCCTTTGGCGGGGAGATGTGGGGAGATATGGGGAGACACGGGGAGATATGGGGAGGGCGCGGTGAGCTATGGGGAGATATGGGGAGATATGGGGAGGGCGCGGTGAGCTATGGGGAGAGATGGGGAGATATGGGGAGATATGGGGAGACATGAGGAGGGCGCGGTGAGCTCCGACCCTCTGCTGTCCGAGATGACCCCGATAGAGGTTCGTAGGGTAAGGTAAGGTCCGAGATGGCCCCCATAGGTTACCCGAGAGGACCCGAGAGGAGCCGAGAGGACCTGAGAGGAGCCGAGAGGAGCCGAGAGGACCCGAGAGGACCCGAGAGGACCCGAGAGGACCCGAGAGGACCCGAGAGGACCCGAGGTTGCCCGAGGTGACCCGAGGTGACCCGAGGTTGCCCGAGGTGATTAGGTGACCTTCGACCTCTGCGATGCGGACGAGGAGGCGTCGCCGTTCGGCGGTCTCGCGCCCCCGGTCGCTCTGACGGCGCACGCCGCCATCCCCGCGCAGCTCCAGTCTTCAATCAATCCATCCACCGATCGATCCATCGATGGAGTCATTGAGCAGGCTCACGACGTCCCCGCGCGGCTCGAGGAGCTCGAGCGCCGTGCCCTCCCTGTGCAAGAGGGGCAGCAGGAGGCGGCGCGGCGGCCGGGTGGCGGCGAGGCGGCGGCGAGGGACGTGCCGAGCCTCGAGCGAGAGCAGGCACACTCACTCACTCACTCTCGCTCACTCAACTCACTCGCTCATTCACTCACACACACTCACTCACTCACACGCACCTACACACACACACACACACACACACACACACACACACACACACACACACACACACACACACACACACACGCACACACACACGCACACACACACACACACACACACACACACACACACACACACACACACACACACACACACACACACACGCACACACACACACACACACACACACCGGGCCTTGCACTTCGAATGCCTTGAGGCTCCGTTTTGCTAGAAGGGTGGAGTCGCGAGGGTCGCCTGGCCCTTGCCCCACCGCCCGTGTGTGTCTGTCGAGAAGTTACCTGTCCTTGCCTTGCCTTTAGGACTCTGCGCTGAGGAGCACGCCGGCGACCTGCGCTTCCAGGTGCTAGTAGCGAGATATGGGGGGAGATGGGAGGAGATGGGGGGAGGTAGGGGGAGATAGGGGGAGATGGGGGGAGACATATGGCGACCTGCGCTTCCAGGTGCTAGTAGCAGCAGGCAGCCTAGCTCCCTCTCATCGTACCCCTATCCCGCGTGGGTTGGGTCCTTGGGTGGTGTGGTGGAGAAGACGCCGAGCGCCGGGACTCGCGCGCACTGCGCCTCCAGGTGCTGCGCGGCGGCGCGACCAGCGCTGCGGCGGGCGGAGGGGCGCTGCTGGCGCTGCTGCTGTACTGCGACCTCGTCAACGCGCAGCTGCCGTCGATGACGCTCAAGTACATCACCAAGCTCGTGCTCCGCTCGGACCACCGCTCGGTCGTCTGCACGCGCGGCGGCCGGGTCGCCGGCGGGGCCACCCCTAGAGTCCCACACCTCCAGAGTCTCGAATCCAGTGTGGGTTCAGGTCCCGTGGGTGGTGCGGTAGATGGCCGCCGGCGGGGGTCGTCTAGAGCCTGTGAGCGCGAGTCCCGGAAGCGCGCTCGGCGTCTTCTACCACACCACCCACGGGACCCAACCCACGCGGGGTTCGATACTCTGGAGGTATGGGACCCTCTAGGCGGGGTGACGTACCGCCCCTTCGTGCACGGCGAGCCGGACGGCGGCTTCGCCGAGCTCACCTTTTGCGTGGTGCGGAGCGACACCCAGGTGTGCCCGGCCCGCCGCCCCCGTCGTCTGGGGTCTCCTCTCTCGCACCGCGTCTGTTCTCTCCGCTCCCCCCGCTCTGCCTGCCTCTGCGCGCTGTTCACTGCGTCAGTGGGAGAGCGTGAGGTCTCCCCCCAGACCCCAAGTGTCGCCACGTCTCCTGAGCTGTGTGCGCGGGGAGATGTGGCAGCCGAGCCGGGTGAGTGTCTTGTGAGCTTGTGTGTGTGTGTGTGTGTGTGTGTGTGTGTGCCGCTCCCAGCGTGCCGTCATCTCCTGTCTCGCGTCCACACCCATCCCATACCGCGCGCCGGTGTCCCAGCCCGCTCCTCTGGCTGCTCCTCCCCTCATTCCTGACTCACTACGCAGGCGCGCGCGCCTCGGGACGCGCCGAGTCCCATACCTCCAGAGTACCGAACCCAGTGTGGGTTCAGGTCCGTGGGTGGTGTGGTAGGTGCGCGGCCTCGGGACGCCATATCTCCCCATATCTCCCCACACCTCCCCACATCTCCCCACATCTCCCCACATCTCCCCATCTCTCAGGTGCGCGGCCTCGGCACGCGCCTGATGAACCACCTCAAGGCCCAGCTTGTCGGACTGGGCTGCAACAGCCTCCTGACGTACGCAGACGAGTCGGCAGCCGCCGGTAGAGTCCCATACCTCCAGAGTATCGAATCCGTCTCTCCCCACCTCTCCCCATCTCTCCCCATCTCTCCCCGTATCTCTTGCCCCGCGCGAGCACAGGCGCTCGGCCGCTCCTACCGCACCACACCTGAACCCACACTGGGTTCGGCACTCTGGAGGTATGGGACTAGGCGCTCGGCTTCTTCCTGCAGCAGGGCTTCACCGACTCCGTCTCGCTCCCCGCGGCGCGCTAGCAGTAGCAGTAGCAGTAGCCGAGATCACCCGAGATCACCCGAGATCACCCGGGATCACCCGAGATCACCCGAGATCATCCGAGATCACCCCGAGATCATCCGAGATCATCCGAGATCACCCGAGATCACCCGAGATCACCCGAGATCACCCGAGATCACCCCGAGATCACCCGAGATCACCCGAGATCGCCCGCGTCTGGCAGGCGCGCTACTCTGGCCGCGTCAAGGAGTACGACCACGGGAGGATGATGCAGTGCGAGCTGCACAAGGAAATGCGCAAACGCCCTAGAAGCTCGGAAGGGTTGGAGCATGCTCTTGTACTGGCCCGCCCTCGCCCCACCACCGGCGTGTGTGTGTGTGTGTGTGTGTGTGTGTGTGTGTGTGTGTGTGCGTGTGTGCGTGTGTGTGTGTGTGTGTGCGTGTGTGTGTGTGTGTGTGTGTGTGTGGGGAGAGGTGTCCCTTCCCTCACCGCACCTTCGCGCCGCAGGCCGTACACGCGGCTCCCCCACTGCATCGGCACCGCGCGCCGGCGCGCCATGTCCGAATGGGTCGCGAGCGGCGGCGGCGTGCGCGTGGCGGCGGGCGGAGCGAAGAAGCGGGCTAGGCCTGGGACTGGGCGCTGCGGCGGCGGCGAGCCCGGCGCGAGCCGCGAGGAGCAGGGCGACGCCGAGGGCGAGGGCGAGGGCGAGGGCGGCGGCGGCGGCGGCGGCGGCGGCGGAGAGGAGGAGGCGGCGGAGGAGGAGGGCGACGAGGAGATGGACGGTGGCGACGACGACGACGAGGAGGAGGAGGAGGAGGCGCGGGTGCGGGCGGCGAGGGAGCTGGACGAGCCGGCGGCACCAGAGCCCACACTGGGTTCGATACTCTGGAGGTATGGGACTAGGCGCGGGAGCTGGACGAGCTCGTGGCCGGCCCGTCGCTCGTGAGCCTCCTCGCCCATGCAGAGGCGAGATATGGGGAGATGCGGGGAGATGCGGGGAGATATGGGGAGATATGAGCCTCCTCGCCCACGCTGAGGCGCGTCACTCC